ATGTATAGATACTCATAGGTATGCATATGTGCATAAAGCAGAGCATACCTGCACCTACCCAGGAATCCTCCAGCTCTCTGGAATCACAAATCCCAAGGAGGCCACGAGCAGCTTTGCTGCTTTCCCGCTCTGCTCGCACGGCGCCTGCCCCGTGCATGCGGCGGGGGCAGCGCCTGGCTGCCCTGGCAGCACTGCTGCCCTGGCCCTGCCTCGCAAGGCAAGGCGGTAATTCCCTGCCAGCAGTAAATTATTCTGTAGCTGGTCCTGCCCCGTGCTGCTCCCCGCAGAAAGCAGCGTAGCCTTTTCACCTTGTCATCGTTGGCAGCACTCCTGGGCTGAACACAGGCACCTCTCTCTGCTGCAAGGAGCAGCCACCAAAGGGAGCTGATGCTGTAAGAAGTGGCTTTTCCCAGTTAGGATCCTGGTGGGACCGTATAAATAAAGAGCTTTTTCCAGCTACATAAATGCAGTTTTCTGTAACAGAAATAACCTATGTAAAATAGAAATGAAGTTGGCAACCAGCACACACAAAAACTTAAGCTTAATAAATGAAATATTTATTAGTGTATGTTTGCTGCTGAGTTTGTAAAGAAAACCAGACTGCAAAGCTGGTGGAAGCTACCAGCTAAGCACCAGAAAGAGGAATTTCTTGAAGCGCTAAAATATCATCACACAGTTCTTGCTTCCTTACCTAAGGATAGAGTGATTATGTTATTATATTAATGAGTTTATTCATCTAATAGCTACTGATGAGAACTTAAAAAGCTTACTGGGAACTTAGAGAGACCAGGCTGTTTGTTTGCCTAATCCAATCTAGGGGTAAACATGATACAGAAGATAGCAAGCCCTTATTTCTTGAAGGGCTGCAGTGCCAAAAGCATTTCACCCCGTTAACTAGCTACAGGTAGTGCTTTCTATACTAGTGTCCATTTGAAATGCAAATCTCTTTATACTTTTTCTTAGCTAAACAGCATATTGAAGATCCCTTTTAAATTGTTTTAAATTAGACTTTTGTATATATTAATCGAGTTCTACTTCTATCTAAATAAAACCATACAAATTTATAAACTTTAGACAATGATTAAGTATAAATCTTATATAACCATTTGTAAGGAAATTAAAGTGCAAAAGCTGTTAGAACTCTGTATACTAGTTTGTTAAATTAATTAGATATTTGAGTAGAGATTTCTTGATCAGTGTAAGGAATTACGAATTATGTTTTAATGGCTCCATTTAATTACAAACCAGCATGTTTTGATTGTTACCCACTAGTGAAAACACAGAAGAATACAAATTCAAGATAAAGAAAAGTTAAATGCCTTAAGTCACTTTCTGTGATTTAGATTAGCATTAAGCTGGTAAAGAAAGAAGAGGTTAACTAGTTTGTATTATCACCTTCTCTCATTACAGATTACTGTAAATGGGTAGTCAGAAATGGGAGGGAAAATACCTGATTTTAGATGTAATATTTCTTCTGCAGCAGATATGTCAAGTTAAATAATATGAAAACATCCAGTCCAGTAGCACTAGCTGTTTCATGCAGCATTATTAAAATGAACAGCTCTCAGTTGTCTTCATTTAACGTCTCTCCTCTGAAGTAGGAAATAGCATATCTGCTATGTTAAAATTAGTATATATTTAAATATAGGTATATATGCACTAAACTATATGTGCATAAATCTTACAAAATACAAAGAATGATTTTCATAGTCACATAGCTGTGTTCTGCCTTTCAGCTGCATTTTACAAGATTTAAAATTTTGTGTAGGTGTGCGTTTTTGTCCGAGGAACATTGCTGTATTCTTAATCATCTTTTGTTAGGTGTTGAAATACGTAATCATAGAATCATAGAATGCTTAGGGTTGGAAGGGACCTCTAGAGGTCATCTAGTCCAACCCCCCTGCACACGCAGGGTCACCTAGAGCACGTGGCACAGGACTGCATCCAAGCGGGTTTTGAAGATCTCCAGAGAAGGAGACTCCACAACCTCTCTGGGCAGCCTGTTCCAGCACTCTGTCACC